GCTCCCCACAAGCAGAAGCAGGCAGGCCCAGTGCACATCAGATCTGTTTCTGTCCCGTAGGTGCTGCCCCCTTCCTGCCTCTGAGATCACAGTCTCTGAGAATCCCTAGCTCAGTTGGTTTTCTCTCTCCACCACAAACAACAGGTTCTAGCTGCCCACACTGTGGCCTAGGATAGCCCTGCTTCCTCCACTGGTCTCTGGGGTAGCAAAGAAAGAGAAAGGAACATTTAATGTGTTTATGAATTGCGAAGATCGGGCGGCGTGATTCTCACCGACCCGAAGGAGAGCTGCTTTGGGAGTCGGGGCTTTCGGAAGTATCCCACACTGTCTGCTCTCATTACGCTCCAAGTCACTTGCTGCCTCCGCTTCCCCGGGAGACCCGAAGTCTTGCTCAGTTTCACAAATGTGTGTTGGATAGCCACTATGTACTACTTTATAGCCCCATGTCTTGTGGGTGTGCTTGAAGACAAATCTATTCTCCAGACCTCGTTCACGGTCCACAAGTGAATGAATGAATGGATCAGATGAATGAATGAATGAACAAACACACTGAGTTGTTTGGCGAGCCATGATGACAATGTCCAGGTTCCCTACCCTCGGGAACTTACAGCGGAGATTTCAGCTTTGGGCCCCACAAATTTCCCTACTGGACCCAGCTCCAGCAGGAGTAATAAAGGTGTTGGAGGGGGCTGCTTGTTCATCCCAGCCGCCCAGAACCAAAACAAGCTTTCTTGGGCTTTTCGTGGATTTTAGTCAACCACGTTGGCGCCAATTTGTTGGAAGGAGGCCGCTTGTTCTTCCCAGCCGCCCAGCTAGCTTAGACCCAAAATAATCACACAGAAACATGGATCCTCCGCCTGAGATGGGATTAAAGGCGTGGGCCAGCACCACTCAACTACCATACAGTTCTAAAAAACAAAAGGGACTCTTTTGACATAACTACAAGACCATTGTTCTTGTCTAGTTTTTTTTTTTTTTAATCTTTGGTATGGGCCTGTTCTTGCCTAGTTTTATGTCAACTTGACACAAGCTAGACTCATCTGAGAAGAGGGAACCTCAGTTAAGAAAATGCCTCTGCCTGCCAGTGATTAAACTCACACTTTTAATCCCAGCATTTAGGAGGCAGAGGCAGGCAGATCTCTGTGAGCTCGAGGCCAGCCTGGTCTACAGAGCGAGTACCAGAACAGCTACAGTTAGGTCTGTTATACAGAGAACCCCAATCTTGAAAAACCAAACACATGCACACGCGCACGCACATGTGCACACACATACACACACACACAAACACACACACACACCTACCTCCATAAGACAGGGTGGTAGGCAAGCCTTTAGGGCATTTTCTTAATTAGTGGTTGATAGGGGAGGTCCAGCCCATTGTGGGTGGTGCCAACCCTGGTCCTGGGTTCTCTAAGAAAGCAGGCTAAGCCCTGGGCAGCAAGTCAGTAAGCAGAATCCTCCATGCCTTGACTTCCCTTAATAGTCTGTGATTCAGGATATGTAAGCCCAATAAACTATTTTCTCCCCAAGATGTAGAAAAGTACCTAAGATAATGTGATCACACCTCAGAATTCAAAGAATTCTTTAATATGGCTGACTGTGTTTTCATAGTTTCCAAGTTCTTATTGTTTTACAATTGTAATTTTTTGAGTTGATTATAATTAGTTGATATGGCCTTTAAGTGCCATTTAAATTATAGGTTCCCTTCTATTTCTTCCTTCTCCTCTTCAAGTTTATGCTCAGGAAATTGGGTCACTTTGTCCTATTGCATTTCCTGTGGTGTTGATTTTGCTATGTCCTCCTGTTGTGGTTTCTTGTGTCTCGGCTTTCCTGTTTCCGTTACTTGGTCCTCAGGTCTAGGGATTTAATCGGATTCAGGTTTCATTCTTCCTTTTGGCAAGACCAGGTCTGTGTCTCTCAGGACACAGAATGCTCCTTTGTCTCCTGCTGATGCCAGTAGCTACAGATCCATCAGTAGTGGAGTTGGGCAAAATCACGATACCACATGGAATTCTGCAGCGCACAATGCCTGTCTGCGCTCTATGCGCTACCATACAGTTTGCGAGCTTCGGGCAAGGGGCTGGAGATTGAAACACACAAAGACACACAGACAGAGACAGAGACAGAGACACACACACAGTGACCTCTAGTCACTGGTAAGAAGCCCTTTATTCAATAGTACCACGGAGGCTTAAATACCCAACACAGTCAGGTGGGCCAACAGGTGAAAACCTTATCCTCTGATCCTCAAGGCCAAGGCAACACGTGCTCAGGAAGCAGAGCTGGTAAACAATTCTGACAAAGCTTTCAGTAACTCAAATCAGAAGGAAAGTAAAGATCTCTAGCAGGGAAGAGCAGCTGGAGGCCAGGACTCCAGATGGTCCCAACAGAATTCTACCAATCCTTTCTCAGTTTCTCATTTGTGTTCTTTTGGTTTTTCCAGACAGGGTTTCTGTGTGTAGCCCTGGCTGCCCTGGAACTCAATCTGTAGTAAGATGGAACAGTATAGTTTTAAGACATCATATGAGTTCATTTCGATACATAAAAGTAGACTTGAGGGCTGGAGAGATGGCTCAGTGGTTAAGAGCATTGCCTGCTCTTCCAGAGGTCCTGAGTTCAATTCCCAGCAACCACATGGTGGCTCACAACCATCTGTAATGGGGTCTGGTGCCCTCTTCTGGCCTGCAGGCATACACACAGACAGAATATTGTCTACTAAATAAATAAATATTTTTTAAAAAATAGACTTGAATAGATATAATCTTCTCTGTAATCTTGGATATGGTATTCACAGATAGGAGGAACCATTATCATAAAGACGACAATACCAAACAGGTGTGGTGGCACTTGGGACCAGCCTGGGCGACCTAGTAATATTCTTCCTAGAAAAAAAAGGCAAAGAGGAGACGGCAGTCCCTCAATTAATCTAAGGCAATTGTGAAAATCCCATCAAATGGGTTGACACACCCCTGAAACTCCACACTGGGAACAATGAAGAAAAGAAATTCCCTTTTACTGACTCACATCCCCAGATCTCAAACGGTGGCGTTAACTGCCAGGCTAAACCTCCGTTTCTGGACAGTGCAATTGCACCCTCTGGTGGTCATCTCTTGCTCTGCACCCAAGTTCGAAAATTTGTTCATGGCAAGCCATACCTTCAACAAGCGTTCCCCCCATTCTCCCAATCCGACTCAAGCCACCATGTTATAGAAATAAATTCTCATAGAGATCTTCTTGCCATGGATATACCATAGATACTGTAATCATCTCCTAGCCTGGCCACGGTATTTGAAGGTTGTCGGGCTCCCGTCCCTAAGCTTCCGCTATACAGATGACACTGTTTAGAGCAATTTCCTTCCTGCAGTTTTAACTACAGTGGGGCTTTTCTTTGGTTTAGCTTTAGTTTTTCGAGAAAGGGTTTCTCTGCAAAGCCCTGGCTGTCCTGGAACTAGCTCTGTAGACCAGGCTGGCCTCGAACTCGCAGAGATCTGCCTGCCTCTGCCTCCCGAGTGCTGGGATCGAGGGTATGTGCCATCATGACTCAGCAAAGAGGAGCTTTACTCATTTTCTAAAAATTTATCTTTTTAAACACTATTTTTAAAAATTATTTATGTGGATCAATGTTTCACCTGCATGTGTATAAGCACCGCCAGGAACAGCAGTCGGGCAAGGATCTGGGGATTAAAGAACACACAGAGACGTGGGTTACTCTTGAAGCAAGAATGGCAATTTTATTTTGTTCCCAGACAGCTTATATATTTCTCTCCTTGTCTAATGGCCAAGCCCTAGCTCTGGGGATGTTCCACTGCAAGCCCACCAGAAACCACTTCCTTGTTATCAGGAACTCGCAAGGGTTCCGTGTGCGAAGCAGCTGCAAGCATAGAAAAACAAGTTGTTTATTCTGACAGGCAAGAGGTGTCTGAGGGTCTGCACATATATGTGCACCTTGTGTGTGCCCAGTGCCCTAGGAAGTCAAAAGGGTGTCAGATTCTCTGGGATCGGAGCAGTTGTGAGTGGCCATATGGGTGTGGGAATTGAACCTGGGTCCTCTAGAAAAGCAATCGATGCTCCTAACCTCTGAGCCATCTCTCCAGCTACCCACACTGGGGTTCTAACATAAAAAATTAACATGCATAAATCTTCTAATCTAATATAATATTCGCTGTCTGTTTTTCTCTTCCAATCCTTAGCCATTGAGATTTTTGTGACTACTGTTGTTTGATTTTTTTAGATGGGTCTGAATATTAACTCTGGCTGTTCTGGAACATGAGGCGATCCTTCTGCCTCCTCTGGCTTTTAACTCATAACACTTGTCTACAGTCTCTAGCCTTTCCTGTCATTATATCATAAATACTTTCAATATTTCTCTTTTAACCATAATTCTCTTTTTTCTTTTCTTTCCCACTTATTACCTCTTTAATGTTACACACTAAGTGGAACACAGCAAGAAATAAACTCTACCTCTGAACTACATCCCTAACCCTTACCTATAACTTTAGGTGCCAAAGTTATGTATTTGTCATTGGCTCTAATTTTTCTTTCTTTCTTTTCTGTTTGTTTGTTTGTTTGTTTTATTTTTCGAGACAGGGTTTCTCTGTAGCTTTAGAGCCTGTCCCTCTGTAGACCAGGCTGACTTCGAACATCACAGAAATCCATCCCTCTGCCTCCAGAGTGCTGGCATTAAAGGCGTGCGCCAGCACTGCCCAGCATCTCTAATTTTTCATTACCAACAAATGGAAGAAACAAGTTGTTACAAAAGCTTATTTGTTCTTTTGAATTGTTTCCTTGTGATAAACGCCCAGGTGAGAGTCCTGATGAAGGTTAAAACGGTTTTCTGGCTCTAGACACATACTGTACTATCATTTTTCTGAAGGATAGTTTGTAATTTTAATGTCACTAGTTACAAGCTCTCATTCCAATAGACATTTCCCCCTCACCCAATTTCTTCCTGGAAAAACTGCCTGGGTGGTTTGCTGATGGAGGACACTCTGTTTCCACAGACCGGGAGCCAAGGGACATGACTCTTGACCCCTTCAGTACTCCCGTGGATGAGAACAACCAGACCCCTGAGGCAGACACCATGAAAAGCGCGTAAGTGTAACACGTGTGTGTGCAGCTCGTAGCCACTGTGGCATCTCCGCTCCATTGTGGGTTTTGCTTTCGCTAATTTGCTCTCTGGTTTTTGTTTATTTTCTGAGATTCATGCCATCGCATGCTGGCAGCTGGGATTGAAAGCAACAGGCCCCTGGGGAGTTTACACATTGACAGGGAGCTACTCAAACCGAGTTCTCCAGGTTAGGTGGGGAAGAGTGAACTTCAGTCACCTTGAAACAGCTCTTTGGTGTGTCCGTGACCCTGACATTTACAGAGACCGTAGAAGGCTGGGACAATCAGTTCATCCTGGCTCCTCCAGTTGTTAACTCTGAACAGAATAAAGATGGCCAGCCATCACCATGGCTTCTTCTCATCCCTGCCAATGCAGGAACAACTTCCCTGAATGCTTTCTGTGAGCTCGCTGGCAGCAGCCCAGGCAGCCTGCTCCAGGCCTTTGTCCTCAGTCTCCTCTGGTTGTGGCCTCTGCTGTAGTCCTCTGCTTACCAGCTGGAACGAGACCTTATTGTGGGTTCCATGAGCCTAGGGCAATTAGAGACCAGCAGTATAACTCTCCGGTCTAAAAGGTTTTGTGCCAAGCCAGAAGCAAAAGAAGGAGGCCTCCGTGGTTGAGGCAGTCGCTAAAGATTTTTTCTTTCTTTCTTCCTTCCTTCCTTTCTTTTTTATTTTTGTTCTTATCCCTTTTCTGCAACATATTTTAAATAGGTTATTACAGCTCCCCTCTCCCTAGCTAAAACCAATGAGATAATCAGAGAGCTCTTTTTTTTTTTAGCAAGAGGACAGAAAAAAAAACATAAAACACTCCACAAAATGCATTATAGTTATTGTGACTAAAATTGGGATTTAACACAGATTCCTAAGTGTGGAAGAGAAAAAGAGCAACACACTCAAGCCCACAGTGCACATTTACAGCCGGCTCATTCCTTGGGGAAACAGGTTTTCCTCGCACATTCTGAAGCAGACTTCTGTGAGTTTTTATAGAGTGTCACTGAACAGCTTAAAGACTCGTATATTTACAGGAAATTCCATTGACCTCATTCAGCAAATATTTCTCAAGTCTCCACAGGAAGGCCCTGGGCTAGCACACCACAGTAAATATATTGATTTAACTAAAAAGAAAAAAAAAGACCCAGATGAGACCCAGCACCCAGCAGGCACAGGGCATCGCTGATGCTGTCCTTGCCACCCACAGACATAAGCCAGCGATGGCACTAGAACACACAAGACCGGGCACACACACACACCACCTTGTAGCGGCAGAATCTGATTCAGAATAAAATTCATAGAGGCAAAGTAATGGATGGGACAACTGTATGTTTTTGAGGTCATCTTTGTTAAAGGTCGTTTTCCTTTCCTGGCTAAGCCTTGGACAGAAGACATCTCAGTTGTGTGATTCTGTGAGGTGATCTGACCGCTGCGTGACACCCCACTGGTCAATCGTCGGCTGATTCAGCTGATCTGACTGGCGAGGTGTATGGCCCCTTCCTCCCTCACTGTTCCAGGCATGTCCCTCCCAAAGCTGCCAGCTTCACTGAAGAGGACAACCTTCCCCAAACACAGGAGGACCTGTCTTTCTTTGGTCCAGGGTCCTCTCGTAGTTGCGCTTCCCTGATAGAACCTTCAAATGAGCCCTCAATTAAAGGTGTAAATACTCAATGAAAAGAAGCAGACTGTTTCTCCATATGTTTACGTACTAGGGCTTAAGAAAAACCCAAAAGTGAAGATCACCCTTCCTAACTGCCCTTATGCGGGAACACGAGGAGAAAGTTGCCTAAGCATGTCAAATATCCCAGCAGCCGATCCCAGTTGTTCGGTTGACATCTTCCCTGCTCTCGTCCCTCCCGCTTACATGTTTGGTCATGAAATTGGTCTGCTGGCTTGCTCTTTTCAAAGGGACAGGGATCTGCACAGAGGATCTGCATCCCCAGAGAACCTGGGGTCTGAGACTGCATCTCTTCTTCCAAGGAAAAAAAATAAGAAAACGAAACCCAGATCGTTCGGCCAAAAGACCTCAGCTGCCGCCAGTCACGTGAGTGTGAGAACAGAGACTCTGGTCCAGAAACCCTGCCAGGACCCCTCCAAGGCTCCACGTAGACTTATGGAGGTTGCTTATAGAGATAAGAGCCCCTCACAAAAGGGGCAACAGGGGCCGAGGTCTAGCCACAGTCTGCTCATCAGAACCTGTACCTTGTCCCAGGCTGCATCTTCTTGTCAATCCCTACAAAACTACGAAGTAGGTAGCCAGGGCCCCACTCTGCCAACCTCTATTAGGAGATGTTGTCACCGTCCACATGGAAAGGCTAGCCCGGCTCTTGCTACCTGTTAGGAATACTTCCTAACGCGAGTTCTCTGCCAACGCCAAAAATCCCAATCAAGCCAAATCACAAGAAGCCGAATTAAAGGATATCCAGGTTTTAATGGGATTCCTGTGTTCTTGGTTGACACCCCCCCCCCCCAGAGGATCCGGAAAGCCGCCAACGCAACGGGGTGCGGGGGGGGGGCGGCACCACGAAGGAACTGTCCCTTCGTAGGGACAATGGTCCCTACGACCATTGGGCAATGGTCAAGACTTGGCGGGCCGCCTTGACACTCCTCCGGGGAGGGGTCAAGGTTTGGCGGGCATAGGGGCGGAGCCTCCAAAGATGCGGGGCCAGAGACTGGAACTTACACTACCTGCCTGGGGGTTTTCTCAGAGTTAGCCCACGATGTAGCAGTCAGGGGACACAAAGCCGGCCTGAGTTCCATCAGTTGGCCAACAGTAGCAGCACTAACAAACAAGAAAATCGCTTCCTTTGCTTCAAGCTCTGCAGACCATGACATGACATCAGAAAAGAAGGCGGGCTATACAGGGCTTTTCTTACTCTTTCTTCTCTGAAATTTTTCCTGGTTATTTTAGAGAAAAGGTGCCCTTTTCCCCCACCAGCTCCACACTCTGAAGTTGATTACCTATTTCATCCAGAACTCAAATGTGTTCCATTCTAAGCCTCAGTCACCTTGTTCTTTTGCGCCACCACCATCCGGCTTAATAAACGTTTTTAGTTCCTATGTGTATCACAGTCCGCTTTCTAAATTTCTTCCTTTAGGGAAAGGATTTGGTTGACAAGGCAAAGAGGAAGAAAAGAACCAAGACAAACAAGACCAGAGGACCCAAAACAGAGAGAGAAGGAAGGATCTTGGGGCACGCAGAGGCTGCTGGAGGTAAGGAAGGATGCCTGTGAGGAGCAGCCCAGACTTCCAACGGGCAAGGAGGTAATATGGACAATGAACTTGGCTCCTGCAGGTTGAGCTTTGCCTGACTACCTGGCCAAGCTGACTTTGCAGCCTGATTTCATAGAAGTGTCTCAGTGCACATGAGCAGAGAAAACCACGGCTGAGTAGGGATCTGTGGTGACCATGACGGGGGCTGCTCACAACGGCACTCTGTGAATGTTGAAATGAATGCCACCATGCTGTCTGTGTACCTGCGGCTGAGAGGGGTGGGGTAAGCGGCATCGGAGGAAAAGTGGACCCAGGGTTTGTCCCAGTGTGCATCACTACGGCCGCCACCATGATAACTACAGGCTGAGATCTGTAATCTGAAAAAAAAAATGAAATGCAAAATGGACCCCAAGTCTGAAACTTGCGGAACATCGACAAGATGCCACAAGTCAATTCTGTACCTGAGCTCACAGAAAATACCGTGTAAGGCTCACGAGCACTCTGTTCAGGGTTTACAGTGTATTTGAACTCAGTTTTTTGTTTGTTTGGTTGGTTGGTTGGTTTTTTGAGACAGGGTTTCTCTGTAACTTTGGAGCCTGTCCTGGAAATATCTCTGTAGACCAGGCTGACCTCAAACGCACAGAGATCCGACTGCCTCTGCCTCCCGAGTGCTGGGATTAAAGGCATGAGCCACTACCGCCCGGCTTGAATATAGTTTTATTTTGATTCTGAATAAAACTCCTTGCTACTTTAAGAAAAACATAAAACCTTTACCTTCAAGCTGAGGGCCAAACGTTTATATGAAGCATTGGCCAACTGTGGAGTTGGGCTTGTATCCAGTCACCAAGATTTTAAATTATACGCATTTAACGTATGTGTAAATATTCTAAAACCAGGAAGGTTTCCTAATCTGAAATGCTTTTGTTCCCAAACGTCTCAGGAAAGGGATGCCCAGCTTCGGCAGTGAGAGCTTAGGAAAGGGAGGAGGAGCTAAGGTCTGAGTGTTCTGAGCCTTAGAAGACCTCAGACGCTTCCGAACCTCCTTTAGCCTAAAACTCACACTTCCTCCTTCTCGTTCCCGAGATTCGTGGACCCTTTAAACAAATCACATTGTTTTTGCAAGGACAACAGTGGGTCCTTGGAGACAACCCTGGAGACAGATCTGATTTTGGTTTGCTCTTCAAACTCTTGCTGCAATTACATTTATTTAGCCCTCAGCATTCCCAGGAGTAGGGAAAACAATGTCCTTGTTCCTCTGAGTATTAAACTGACCCCGTTAGAGCTGTGATCTGGACAGGACCTGTCAGACATACTGAGATTTTCCTCAGGAGTCTTGCCCCATCGTCATCGGGGTGAGATGGAACCTTTCTTTGGGTTCATTTGGGGATTGAACCTTGGGCCCTATGTACTAAATGCATGTTCTACCACTTAGCTGTATCTGCAGCCAGAAATGCAACCTTTCCAGCAGTGATACTGCTGCATGGTTGCATCTTTATTGACCTAACTATAACGCAGGGCTGCTCTTCTCAATTCATTATTACAATGCATATTCTATTCACTCAGATTCTACTCATGAATTCAGGAATATGCTCATCAATTTATCCCATGCTTAATCTTAAAGGTTATTAAAGAGCCAGGTGTGGTGGCACACGCCTGAGAGGCGAAGGTATAAGGGTCTCTTTGAATTTGAAGACAGTCTGGTCTATATAGTGAGTTCCAAGACAGCCCAAGCTACATAGTGAGGTCATGTCTCAAAAGGGTTACTAAAGAGAATGAGCAGAGGCCACATTTCTCCTACTCAGCAACCTCTGTCCCCCGCTGCTTCCCCAGGAAAGTCAAAGGATTCAAGAACTGAAAAGAAATCAGAGCTAATTCCGAGAAAAAAGAAACCAAGGATCAAAGTGAAAAGGACACATAAAGAGAGGACCGCGGAGACGGCGGAAGAGCTGAGTGAGCCCAGCGTCGCTAACTCCAAGGAAGCAGGTGGTCACTCTGCCACCGAGGACCCTTTGCTTTCTCCTGAATTGGATGCTCTGGAGAGCCAGGTTTCTATAGACGGAAGATTGTCACACACACAGGCCACAGATGTCACTAACCTGGAATCTGAAAAAGAGAGAAGCCCTGAAGACCCTTCCAAGGTATGAGCAGGTGCCCTCTCTTGGTCTGAGGAAGCTTTTTCTCTTCACTCAGCAGAACTGCAGATGAGGGGAATGTCCCTTGATAGGTTGGACTTCCCGAAACAGCTCTATTACGTGACGATTGATTGATAGATTGGTTGGTTGGTTGGTTGGTTGGTTGGTTGATTGATTGATTTTTTTGAGACAGGGTTTCTCTGTGGTGCCCTGACTGTCCTGTAATTCTCTCTGTAGACCAACCTGACCTCAAATTCAACTGAGATCCACCTGCCGCTGCCTCCCGAGTGCTGGGATTAAAGGTGGCAAGCCGTGGTCTGTCTTGTTCTTCTTTGGTGGCTTCAGACCCTAGTTAGAAGCCAGACCTGATCTCACTTTGAAGTGAGTGAGTCATTCTGGGATGCCCCAAACTACCAGGGAATGTGTAGGAGGTAGGAGGTAGATATGGGGGCCATCCGTGGGAGGTACATGTCTTACTGGGACAGAGAAAGGGAGACCCAGAGGCTGTTAGAATCAAGCCACATCCTCAGCTCGGTCTGGCACACACTACAAAGGTTATGGTTTACAGCTGTACCAGGTAGCTCGTGGCATGTGCCTGCTTCACGGGGCGCTTTTATGAGTTGCTATGTGCGCTCCAGGGACCTCGATTCTAAGGTGCATGTTTGAATAGAAAATTTGAATGAGCCAAGCAGTGGTGGCACACACCTTTAATCCCAACACTCAGGAGACAGGCAGATTTCTGTGAGTTCGAGGCCAGTCTGGTCTACAGAGTGAGTTCCAGGACAGCCAGGAACCCATCTTAAAAAACAAAACTGGGAAAAAAGAAAGAAAGAAAGAGAGAAAGAAAGAAAGAAAGAAAGAAAGAAAGAAGGGAGGGAGGGAGGGAGGGAGAGAGAGAACGAGAGAAGGAAGAAAAAGAATGAGGAAAATTATTCTTTGGATTTTCTATAATTAGTCAAAAAGAATAGCATCCAGATACTCCATATCTCAGCTGGTGTTTCTTTTCTTTTTTTCTTGTTTCTTTCTTTCCTTCTTTTTTTTTTTTGAGACAGGGTTTCTCTCTGGCTTTGGAGCCTGTCCTGGAACTCGCTCTGTAGACCAGGCTGGCCTCAAACTCACAGAGATCCTCCTGCCTCTGCCTCCCGAGTGCTGGGATTAAAGGTGTGCGCCACCAACTCCTGGCCACTTGTCTATTTAATGGCACAGTCTTTCCCTTGGTGTCCTCAGACCTTCTCAGTTGCCTAGATTGCAGAACTGTGCCTGCACAATGGATGGAGATTTTAATCTAGGAGCAGAACTTTCTAGATCATCAGAGTTCCTTAGATTTATTGTCAATCCATAGTAGCATGTGGCCTCTGCAGAACCAAGGAGTTTTAGACTCTGGGTAGGACAGAATTTATCTGTGTTCCCCACCTAAAATTGTGACCAAGTAAGGAGGCAGCATTGGAGAGAAAAAGGAAGATACATTTTATAAACTGGAGAAAAACCCTTCACTGAAACAGTGGGTTAACTGAGCCTGACTCCTCTATAGCCAAGACTGCATACTGCATTTTTTTTTTCTGGTTTTTCAAGCCAGGGTTTCCCTGTGTAACAGTCCTAGCTGTCCTGGAACTCAGTCTATAGATAGGGCCTGCCTCTGCCTCCTGAGTGCCGGGAATAAAGGCTATGCCACCACCGGTGCTGCTCCAACAGCCTCTTACCAGGACTGTGCCTTCCAGCCCCAGCTTCAAGTTCCAAGTTTCTAAAACTCCAGGAGTCCCACCCCCACCCCCGAGATTTTCATTTGTCGGCTCAAATGGAGTCCTGGCATATTTTAAAGCTCCTTGGGCAGTTCTTTAGTGCGGCTAGGGTTGTAAAGGCCAGAACTTGTGACACACAGGAGTCTGATGGCACCTCTGTTATCTCAGGGAGTACTGGATGTAGCCGTAAGGAAGACCCTATCAGGACAGCCGTGCTCCCCCAATCCCAAAGCAAGTGAAAGACTCGAATGTAGGTCACTCCAGCCCCTCAGCCAGGCAGGCAGAGGCAGTCTATGCCACTGCGGTGGCAGTGTTAAGTCAGTTTTGGGATTCCATCTCGGATTAGAGAAAACTAATCTGGGCTGCAGCTGAGTCTGTCCCTTACACTGATAACCACTCTGGTTTCTTAGGCCCTCCTGGATAAGGCTTCTCGGGACAGAATTCGCCTAGAGAGGGCAGAGATGAGGCGGCTGGAGGTGGAGCGGAAGAGAAGGGAGCAGGAAGAGTTGGCCAGGCTCCATAAGGAGCAGCTGGAGAGAGCGGAGAAGATGAAGGAGGAGCTGGAACTGGAGCAGCAGAGGCGCGCGGAGGAGATCCGGTGGGCCAGCAGCCCAGAGACACAAGGCAGGGCGAACCTTCCCCAGGGGCATAGCTCGGTGCTAAGGCTCATGCCCTGACCCGAACTCACAGGAACAACCTGGACCAGAGTTTAGATGTTGCTATGACCATGTGGGTTACTCAAGATAGATGCTCACGGGGAAATTGGGGGAAGGTGTTGAGATCCATGTCCGCATTTTCAACGCCTGCTGTTGTCTTCTCTGGACTAGGCTTTCACAGGTCTCTTCACTCCAGCTTAATCTCCACAACCCTAAGAGGCAAGAATTTCAAGATCCATACTTGAATAGAAAATAAAGGGGCTGGAGAGATGGCCCAGGGGTTAAGATCACTAGTCGCTCCCCTAGAGGACCTGAGTTCATTTCTGTCGCCCACAAGGCAGCTCACCACTGTCTGCCACTCCGGTTCCCAGGGATATGCCTATGTAGGCAGGCAAAAATCCCCATGCACATAAAATAAATTTTAAAAAAATAGAAAATAAAATGCAGAGAATTTAAGGCGCTTAAAATCTGGGCCACAGCACTGAGCTATATGCCGAAATGTCTAGGTTCCTTCCTCTAGACCCCTGTCTCTCGCCTCTACCCTTCATCCGTGGCTGTAGAAAACCTGTTCTTGAGGGGTGCTTCCAAAGCCTATTGCCAGTTGGTTGGGCCTGTATTTCCTGCCATCCCTCTGACAGCTGCTGTGTTCCCAGCCTGAGGAAGCAGAGGTTGGAGGAAGAACGGCAGCAGCAGGAGGAAGAGGAGAGGAAGAGGAGGCGCCAGCTGCAGGTGGCCCAGGAGAGAGCCCGGCAGCAGCAAGAGGAGCTCCGGAGGAAACTACAAGAACTGCAGAGAAAAAGGCAGCAGGAGGAGGTGGAGAGGGCTGGTGAGGAAACTCCTGAGCTTTTTTGTTTGTTTGTTTTTAATCTCCCATCTCTTGGATCAAACATATTTTAAATCTACATGTGTAAACTAGGTTTGGTTTTGTTTTGTTTTTTTTAATCCATAATGGTAATTATATCTGACTATAGAGGGTGTATATAAAAGGATGGAATATGAACGGAAGACTCTTGTGGAAATGATTGCAGGGTCGGGTCGGTCTTCTGGCTCAGTAATTGCCCTCGCCAGCATTGCTCAGGAGCTACCTTCTTCAGGCAGGCAGAGATAGTCACAAATATCTGGAGAGCCTCAGACCACACCTTCAGGGGTGGATCAGATCATCTTCCAGCATACTCTTCCAGATAAGGTAGAAAGTTCAGCAGATGTTGCTGTGGTCAATTCCTGGTTTGGTGTGGGAGAATTGTCTGTATTCTGTCAATCATATTTTAATAAAACACTGATTGGCCAGGCAGGCAGTATAGGCAGGAAAGCCAGACAGGAAGTAGAGGTGGAGCAAAGAGACTGGGAGTATTCTGGGAAGCAGGAAGTTCCCTCCACCACTCCTGCCCAGACCACCAAAGAGGCAACATGTGAGCTGTCACACTGAGAAAGGTACTGAGCCGTGTGGCTAACATAGATAATGATAATGGATTAATGTAAGTTACAAGGACTAATAAGAAGCCTGACCTAATGGGCCAATCAGTTTATAATTTTATGGAGTCCTGTGTGTAATTTTCTTTGGGGCTTGCGGGCTGTGGGGTACGGGGCGGGACAGAAACCCCAACAAGCTAGCCGGCCTTCATGTTACACTGGTTCGCACTCTTTAGACTAGTCAGAGTCTAGGTAGGTCAGCGTGTTCCTCTAGACCCTGGTCTGACGCTCCTGCCCACACAGCTGCGTAAGTTCAGGAAAATCCCTAAGGCTTTTTAATACCTATAGGCACTTTGCCAGAGGACTTGGATTAGTAAACCCACGGAGGCTCTCCAAGATTAGAAAGACCAGAAATACCAGCTGCTCTAGTGATGCCCCCTCCACTTAGCCCACCTCTTTATGCTCCACAGAGGCGGAGAAGCAACGGCAGAGGGAACTGGAAATGCAGTTAGCAGAAGAACAGAAGCGCCTGATGGAAATGGCGGAAGAAGAGCGGCTGGAGTACCAGAGGCAGAAACAGGAAGCAGAAGTGAAGGCTCGGCAGGAGGCTGAGGAAAAGAGGCAACAGGAAGAAGCAGCGGCAAGGCTGGCTCTGGAAGAAGCCATGAAACTTGCCCAGGAGCAAGAGAGGTACTTCTCGTAAGCAAGGGTTGGACAAAAGCCGCCGTCCGGGCTTGTTTCAGAGGCTTGATGACCTGGTGCCAGTTCTCACCTAACACAGCCTTAAACCATAGTTCTCTCGTCCCCTAGAGCATGGCTAGGAAGACTAAAACTCAAAGAGCATTCTTCGCCGACAGACAGCGCAGGATTCTGTCATGGCTTACAAAACTTGTATTGAAGCTAGACAGGCATTTAAGATTATTTATCTTAATCTCGTTTATGGATAAGTAAATCTCAGGGCTTACTAGCAGGGCTTGCAGCAGGTTGATCAAATATTCGAATTATGCCCTGTATTCAACTCCCCAGTGAAAGAGAAGCAAGATCTCCATTAGGACCAAATATTGAGTTATGGCCAATACCAAAACACATTGCAGGGGCTGGTGAGATGGCTCAGTGGTTAAGAGCACTGACTGCTCCTACAGAGGACCGGGGTTCAATCCCCAGCACCCACATGGCAGCTCACAGCTGTCTGTAACTCCAGTTCCAGAGAATCTGACATCATTATATCAATGCACATGAAATAAAGTTAAAAAAGTTTTTTTTTAAAAAAAGAACATTTATTTAAGCAAGCTGTATCTATCTTTAAAAAAAAACATTGCGTAAATTGGAGAATCTAGGGAATTCAGAAGTATGATATTCACAGTCAAGGGATAAGGATGGAGAGATACTGAAAAAGACAATGTTTTTGGTTTCATGTGGTTTGTTTTTTCGAGACTGGATTTCTCTGTGTAACAGCCCTAGTTGTCCTGGGACTAGCTCTGTAGACCAGGATGGCCTCAAACTCCATCTGGAACATTTCCAGAGATTTGCCTGTCTCTGCCTCCCCACTGCTGGGATTAAAGGCGTGTACCATCATGCCCTGCCATGTTTTTGTTTGTTTGTTTGTTTGTTTTTTAGGCTAGTTACAAAATGCTAGGCAGGAAAACTTGAAAGATGTGACAGAAAGCTTGTCAAGTGGCTTGTTAAATAAACAGAAGCCCAGCATTGCTGGGATGAGGGTGACAAGTGGTACTTTGGATGAAGCCAGGGAGGTACGCCAAGACGAGAAAGAACTAAAGTTCCTTCTTACCTGGGGCCAAGAGCATTTCTGATCTTTTACAACCATAGACACGGGAAGGTGAGCTAGGTGTGGTGGCACAGGTCTGTAGTTGCAATACTTGGAGGAATCTTGGAGGAGTCCTGGGAGAAATGCAGCCAGATTCTTTCTCAAAACTGTCAGGAGAGACAAGGTACAACCTGGGAAATCATGTCTCCAACACTAAATGTAAACACTCTCCCCGTTGAGTTGTAATTTTCCACAAATTAAAAGGACTCGAGTCCTCTTTAAGAGGTCCAGAAAGAGAAGACACCAGAACTCTCAAGACTTCGTTAACCTTGAGTTGTTCCTTCCCTGATCAGCATTACAAAGCAGATTATTAGAAAAGTCCTAATTCAGCTTCAATAGTCTAGACATCACGTATCGTAGCAGTACAACAGAAAGCAAGCTCCTAGAACCCCAACTTTCCATGAAAAACTGACAGGCATTATGGAGGTACTAGAACAATTATGTAAAACCAGTTCAGGTAGCTGAGCAACTAAAGGGGTAATGGGGCTGTCTCGTTCCTCCAAGGGCTAGAACCCAGTACCAACCGACCTGACTTCATCTCCATCTGCAACATCCGCCCCTGTACTTTAACTTCTCTGGACTGTTTCCTCATCTCTAAAGCAAGGGGATCCACTTTTATCCTAGTGTTTAGGGGATTAAACCTGTGAGAAGTTCCAGGACAGCCAGGGCTACACAGGGAGACCCTGTCTCAAAAAAACAAACCTAAATAAAGCAAGCAAACAAAGGTATCCCTTCCAGCAGGACAAGTGTAAGAGTTGAGAAATACCACCTCCCTCTTCCTAATAGGACTCTCATGATGCCCCCAAAGGCCTCATGTAAAGGCACTAAATGAACAGAGTATGATTTTCCACTAAAACCCACAACCCAAATCCAAAACTCTATCAACTTATAAGACTGAACGCCAGCCAGGCAGTGGTGGCCCACGCCTTTAATCCCAGCACTTGGAAGGCAGAGGCAGGTGGGTCTCTGTGAGTTTGAGGCCAGCCTGGTCTACAAGAGCTAGTTCTAGGACAGGCTCCAAAGCTACAGAGAAACCCTGTCTCGAAAAACAAAAACAAACAGAAAAAAAGAATGCTTAATCATTTCTGGAACTGGGGTGGGCTGTCTCCTTAGGCAAAAAGCAGCTTTGGAGAAACAGCTTCATTTTCATCAAGAACTCTTAAAGGAAGCCAGTGGTCTGCAGTGGACACAGAACATTTCCAGACCATGGGTCTACTCATATTTCCAGTTCCTACAAATCCCCAAGCCATAAGGCTAGAAGAAAACAAAAAAGTAAGTTGAGAATTGGTATACTTCTCAGAAAAAGCTATACTTCTATAATAAAACTTCAGCATGAGCTCAATTAGTTCATTTCATCTGACTTCCCTCAACTCATACCTCTCACTTTTAGAGACAGGGTTTCTTTGTGTAGCTTTAGAGCCTGTCCTGGGACTGGCCCTGTAGACCAGGCTGGCCTCGAACTCACAGAGAGCTGCCTGTCTCTGCCTCCCAAGTGCTGGGATTAAAGGCTTGTGCTACCACCACCCAGCCCTCCTATCTTCTTTACCCTGGACTGGAACCTCTCTCTTCCCAGCATTCCTGCACACGCCACACACGCAAATCCTTTTGTTTCTAGGACCACATTAAGTTCAAAAGCCTTGGTGCTAAGCCATTCCATAGTTCCAGCTGGAGACACCAAGTCTTAGGGTACTATGTATCTCAGTGTGTTCAAGAGTTGACAGTGAATGGACATTATTTTGTCATTCAATAACTCTGGATTAGCGGAGTTAATCATATATTAAATCCTTCTATAAGGCACAATTTCATCCAAGGAAGGAAGAAGGAACAAGGAGGGAAGGAGGGAGGAAAGGGGAGGGGAGGAGAGGGGAGGAGAGGGGAGGGGAGGGAAAGGGGAAAAAGGAAAAGGGAAAAGGGAAGGGAAGAAGGGAAAAAAGGGAAGGGAAGAAGAAGGGAAAGAAAGAAGGGAAAGAAGGGAAAAGGGAAGAAGGGAAAAGAGAAGAAGAGAAAAAGGGAAGAAGGGAAAGGGGAAAAAGGGAAGAAGGGAAGAAGGGAAAAAGGGAAGAAGGGAAAGGGGAAAAGGGAAGAAGGGAAGAAGGGAAGAAGGGAAAAAGAGAAGAAGAAGAAGAAGAAGAAGAAGAAGAAGAAGAAGAAGAAGAAGAAGAAGAAGAAGAAGAAGAAGAAGAAAAGAAGAAGGGAAAAAAGAGGGAAGGGAAAAAAGGGAAGGGAAGGGGGGAAAAAGGAAGGGAAAAGGAAAAAGGAAAGGAAAGGAAAGGAAAGAGGAAAGGAAAGGAAAAAGGAAGAAAAGAAAAAAAAAGCCAACCCTGTCTCGCTGGGCAGTTGGTGGTGATGCACACCTTTAATCCCAGCACCTGGGAGGCAGAGGCAGGTAGATCTCTGTGAGTTCAAGCTCAAGTATCACAGAAGGGTAAAAGAAATTGTTTGAAACAACATAAAAGGATGTTAAATCAAGCAGTATCTGCATTTTCCCCAACTTAAAAAAAATTAACTGATGTGCATTGCTGTTTTTGTCTGTATAAGACTGTCAGATCCCCTGGAGGTAGAGTTGTGAGCAGCCATGAGTGTGGGAACTGAACTAAGTCCTCTGGAAGAGCAGCCAGTGCCTCACCACTATGCCATCTCCCCAGCCCAATTTTCCTAACTTTTGATCCACACTTGTCTTAGTTTTCTTATTATGAATACTACTTGGGGACCTTTCCAAATATTATCTATTACATTTTTGCTCCCAAGTGTCTATTAACAGTACTACTTTATCAGTCAAGGCTGTTTTTTAGGTCAACAGTAGAGTGTACTTTAGAAGACCCTCCAAAACCCCCAAAACAAAAATTATTTCTACCATTAAGCTCCATCACTAAATGCTGAGCCTTCATTCAGAGCTACAAAACTAAGATGCTGAACCATATATTCATGGATTCTGAAAAGCTCAAATAACCAACCAAATCTGTTACTTGAGCTTGACAAATGATGCAAACTCAAGGTTTTCTACAATTGAACCTAGTTTCCAGTTACTATTTAAAGAATGTAACAGTAAATGCCAGGGGAGTCTAAAAGCTCCATTTCGTACATTAGAAGCAATTTTAAAGATAGGGTCAAATGTGAGTTTCAGGCAATCTTCTTTGTGAACAAATTACCTGAGAAGGGTATGTACACTGTTAGCAGTTTATAAAATGCATCTCGGAAAGGTTTATTTGCTAAAGTAGCCAGATGGCACTGTATTTGGAATGACATGAAATTGGATGTGCACATATATATAGTTCTGTGACTCACTGAAATTTTTTTAAAGATGTATTTATTTATTATGCATAGTGTTCTGCCTGCATGTATGCTTACAGGCCAGACGAGGGTACCAGGTCTCATTATGGATGGTTGTGAGCCACCCTCTGGGTGCTGGGAATTCAATCCAGGTCCTCTGGAAGAGCAGCCAGTGCTCTTAACCACTGAGCCATCTCTCCAGCCCCCAATTCATCGGGGTTTTACAAATACTCGAAAAGGAAAAAAAAAAAAAAACCAACAGTAATGGTATATGTGTAACTTCCAAGAACAGCACAATCAAAAAAAGACAAGACAATGGTGTTTCTCTGTGAAATAGTCCTACTGTCCTGGAACTATGTAGACCAGGCTGGCCTCAAACTCAGAGGTCCGCCTACCTCTGCCTCCTGAGTGCTGAGATTAAAGGAGTATGCCACCACTGCCTGACAGTGAGTTTTTAAAAAGACACTGTGATCATAAACATTGATTCAGGAGGCACATCAGTAACTCCCATTGCTTCAAATCACTAAGGTCATTACTGTAGAGCACTAAAGAAAATCCTATCTGAAGTATTTTCATCTTTCTCCCTACAAAACTAAATAAAATAAAAGGGGCTTTTGTACGGTTTTTACAAATATTGTTTATTTTAATGAAGCTGGTACAGACGATGTCCCTTGAAAACCCATGTCCCAGGCCAAAAACTACAAACAGAATCAAAAGGAGCAGTGTCTGTTGCGTATACTTCTGCAAGAGTAACTTTCCTACTAACTGCTGATGGAGATTACAGCTTTCCTGGGATCTTCAGACAGCCTGCCTTACTCTTAGGACGCGTTCTTTCTCTCCGGTGAAGCCATCCTGGAGTTAGCTGTCACTCTCACGGTATCTGTCATCTTAACTACAAACGTGATGCTCTTCTTTTGGTCCAGACCCTCAGATTTTAAAAGTAGCTTCAAGCTGAGGAAAGGTCATTTTCCCACAGTTCAGGTCTCTGAAGACCTTCCATCTCCCACTGAAAACCACGGTCCAGGCGTGAAGCAACCGCATGCTGGAACTTCAGGGCCAACTGGAAGGTCATAGGAAAGCTCCCACTGGTCCATCTTTTTATCATCACAAACCTGAAAATGCACAGTCCTGAAAAGGGTGGCCTCTCTGTGCACATATGAAATTGTTTAAAATAAGAAGGGCAATATTAAGGGAGCTGAGGTCTGATCACCAAAAATCAGCACAACAAAAACAACCAATAATGAATATTGAACACTAGAATTCTGATTACCAGATGTTCTAAAGAGATGGAGTGCCAGTATTCAATTTTCATTTTGAACACCACATTACAAAAGAACTATTTTTAAAAATAAAAAAGGATTAAGGGAAAAGGAAAAAAAAATAAAAAGAATTATCTAAACCCTTGAATGACCCCCCGTTTGTTCCTGATAAACTTCAATCACATCTTCTTCTTCCATTCCCAGCTGCAAAAAGAGAGAGAGAGAGAGAAATATGTTAACTAAACTAAAAAAAGCAACATTTTTACACTGGCTGCAATTATGTGGTCACTATTTTAAAGTACAAGACAATACAAGTGTCATCTGGAAATAACCCCCAAAGCTGAAATTCTTCTTCCTGAGGCCAACACCTGGGAAGTGAAACACCTTTTAATCCCAGCACTAGGGAGCCAGTGGCAGGCAGATCATGGTGAATTTGAGACTAGCCTTGTCTATTCAGTGAGTTCTAGGACAGCCAAAAAACTACATAGTGTGACCTTGTCTCAAAAAAACAAACAACAAAAACCCAAATCAAACCAATCAACAAACACAACACTTGCCTGGCATGTGCAAAGCCATGAGACTGCTCTGGCACAGACTGGGATGGGAGGGACATGGGAGGAACACTCAAGCACACTCTGCTTATTCACTCTACACTATGGAAGTGGTTTGCTTTGTTTCTTCTTGGGGGGGGGTGTTTTTTGAGACAGGGTTTCTCTGTAGCTTTGGAGCCTATCTCGGAACTTGCTTTGTAGACCAGGCTGGTCTCAAACCCACTGAGATCCACCTGCCTCTGCCTTCCAAATGGTGGGATTAAAGGCGTGTGCCACCGCCACCACTTGGCCATAGATGGTGATTTTTATTCTGCACTTGTAACTTACCTTTAATCAGAAAAATATTTCAAAGTAAAAACTTCTTTAAAATATGGAGAAAAGTCAAGAATACAGGTACCAAGTTGAAGGTACCCTAAATGGGCAACATCTAAAGGACAGTCACACACTTCAAAAAAAAAATCTTTGCAGGTCACTGGTTAATTAAAATGAAAAAGGTACTGTAGTGGCTTCTTGGTTGTCAACTTGATTACAACTGGAAGTAACTAAAGCCCAAGAGGCTGGATACACCTGAGAGAGGTCCCTTCTTTCCTTCTATCTTTTGTTTTGTTTTCTTGAGATAGGGTCTTACTATGTAGCCCTGGCTGTCCTGGAAGTCACTCTATAGACCAAGCTGGCCTCAAATTCAGAGATTTGCCTGCTGGGATTAAAGGCGGGCACCACCACTGCCCAGTTTGAGAGGTTTTTCTTAATGAAATCATTTGAAGTCTTTAAGATGGATCGTTTTGGTTTTGTTTTTTTTTTTTTTTTTTTTTGTGAAAGGGTTTTTTTATAGTCCCAATCATCCTAGAACTCAACATGTAGGCCACCTAGGCTAGCCTCCAGCTCTGAGACCCACCTGCCTCTGCACAACTACACCCAGTTTAGCTGACCCTGGATCTCTAGAAATGGGAAGATCTACCTTCTGGTGGCAGTTTATATAAAGACTTGAGGAAGGAAGTTTTTGCTTTTTGCCCACTGTTCCTGGAAAGCTCATTTCTTCACTGGTATTACAGTCCACTTCTTCAGGATACTGAAAACCAGCTGAGACATCCCAGCCTCGTGGAACAGTAGCTGTCTACTGTTGGAACAGCTGGGCACAGCCTGTAAAGCATCTACTAAGTTTCCTTTAGATGAATATTTATCAGTCTGTTCCTCTAGAGAACCCTAGTACAGCAACTCCACAATGAATGAACCTGGCAATTATCATTTAACTGAGTCAGCAAAGTTAGCATTCCTCTGGAGGCAGAGGCAGGCAGATCCCTCTGAGTTACAGGCAGGTGACTACATAGTGAGTTCCAGGACAGCAATGGCTCTGTAGAAAGAGACCCTGTCTCAAAGCAAACAAAGGAAACCAACATTACCCATAATGGAACAGAGAGACACCATGTCATACTCAGAAATATATAGCTTCACTCTGTAATATTCCTATCAAAAGTGGTTAAAAGTAGTAAATCCTAAGAAGTTAATAAAGCAAAATAGCTAGCAAAGTCAATTAGACCTTTAATGACAAAGATAGCTCTCAATGCCACAAAAGATATGCAAACTTTTTACACGACTTATCAAAAGTAATAGCTAAATAGGAAAGATGGCTTATTTAAAGCAAAGTAACTTTATTAATCACAATTATGAAAACACTTTGTAAACAAACGCAAAGGACTGTTGAACTATATACTCTTAAAAACCAGGGACCCGAGGGACTGTTCCAGATTCCCCAAGTCCTCTGAGGTCACCATCAAAGTACCACAACTTGACCAAATGTAAGATGTGTCTGTCTTTAAAAGAAAGACCATAGATGTCTTATCCAATCCTCCACCCTCTTCTTAGCGGCACGTTTGAAAGTACATAAGGAAATCTCAATTCAACAGATTATTTCCTCTCTCTGATCAGCAAGTATTCACAAAAAGTGAATTTAATGCTAATGAAATTGTTTTAAAAAATTTATATAAATTCATTTTAGTATTTGTGTATAAAGGTGTGTATGAGATGTGGGGGGAGAACAGGCAGATGTGCATGGCTTGTGGGTAGAGGCCAAAGGACTTCATGGAGTTAGTTTTCTCCTTCCACTACGTGGGTTCCAAGGATAGAATGCAGCTATGGTGGTGGCAAACGCCTTCACTGAGCCACTGCCATCTCCCTAAGAGAAAAAAATTCCCTCTTTAAGATTTATTTTCAGGGGGGGCTGGAGAGATGGCTCAGAGGTTAAGAGCATTGCTTGCTCTTCCAAAGGTCCTGAGTTCAATTCCCAGTAACCACATGGTGGCTCACAACCATCTGAAACTGGGTCTGATGCCCTCATCTGGTCTGCAGGCATATACACAAACAGAATATTGTATACGTAATAAATAAATATTTTTTTAAAAAAGATTTATTTTCAGCTGGGTGGTGGTGGCGCACACCTTTAATCCTATCACTTAAGGCAAAGGGATCTGAGTCTGAGGCCACCCTGGTCTATAGACTGAGTTCCAGAACAGCTAAGGCTGTTACACAGAAAAACCCTGTTTCAAAAAAACGAATCAAACAAAAAATATACATTTTTGTCAAATGAATGAACTTTCTGCCTGCATATATATATCCATCATGTTTGTGCCTGGTACCCAAGGAAGTCAAAAGAGGGCAGCAGATCCTTGGAACTGGAGTTATAGATGATATACCTACAATATGGTGATAGGAACTAAAACCAGGTCCTATGCATGAGCAAGAAGTATTTTTAACCTCTTGAGTTCCAAGGAAAAAGCTTTTATTGTCCCCAGATTGTTGCAATAGACATCAGACCCACCATCCCAGGATGTCCATGGTAGAGAAATGACTCCCATATATGCATCATGACCCTCATGAACAGGTATGCATGTGAACATACACATAATAAGTAAATACAAATTTCAAAAACTTTTACTTTTTTCTCTTTTATTTTGGCACTAGGGATATCAAACTCTGGGACATACGAATACTAAGCACATGCTCTATTATTGAGCTATAATCCTCATCCTTTTAATCCAAAATCTTATTTATTTCGAAAGTTGGATTTAGAAAGAAACATACTTACTTCTTTTGGAGTATGGTTATCAGCAATTCTCTGACCTTCAAATAGAAACCTGAGTGAATTCATTGGAACTCCCTAAAAAAAGAAAGTGTGTATAAAAATCTTAGGTTTTAAATAACTATTATACTCTAAAAACAAAAAAACAAAACAACATAACGGCTTAACAAGCTACATAGATTATAAAATTAGATGACCAATTCAACCAGAACTAAGTACTTTATTTGCAATCATAAAGCTCTTTGTAAAGATTCAAGAAGGTATTACCACCTCATCTTCAGTTTACAACTAGGGAGCTTATGACCTGTAGATAAAAGAAGTTAGCTAAGAATTTCAGCCCAAAATGATTGATAAGCCTTTCTTCTCTTCCCAACCACTATTGTATTCATTTCCCCCTTAAGTCTGAGCTAGCATAAAAGAAATAAGGCTGGTTGGTGGTGGTGGTGCATGCCTTTAAAATTATACTCGGGAGGCAGAGGCAGGCAGATCTCAATGAGTTCGAGGCCAGCCAGGTGTATGGAATGAGTTCCAGAACAGCCAAGGTTGTGTAAGAGAGACCCTGCCTCAAAACAAACAAAATTTCAACCTTGGTTATCTCTAATGTACTGTTTTTCTTGTTTTGGTTTTAGTTTTTTGAGACAGGATTTCATGAAGCTCAGGCTGTCCTCAAATTTCTTTAATAGTGGAGGATAACCTTGAATTTTTGACCTCCTCCTATCAGTGTTGGGATTACAAGTTATCCCTCATACCCAACATGAATTACACTCTTACATATTCATACATATGCATACACATGCATACATACACACACACACATCTGTGTATTTGAGGCAGGGTCTTACTATGTAGCCCTGGATACCCTGAGACATTTTTAGCTGAAGCTAAAGATTATTAATTCTTGAACTCCCCCCCCAATTTTTATTTAATGTTTGTGAGCACAAGATGTATGATGTAGACAACCATACAGATACTTTTACATATACAATTTATTTTATTTTATGTTCGTCTGTGTGAGGGTGTCAGAAGCCCTGAAACTACTATTACAGACAGGTGTGAGCTACCATGTAGGTGTGAGGAACTGGACCCAAGTCCTCTGGGAGAGCAGCTCGTGCTCTTAACCTCTGAGCCATCTCTCCAGCCCCAGACAGATTTTTTTTAAAGGAGAGAAATTATCTTGACATATGCTTGAAAATATGGTAAATAATTAGCAGCAATCTATATTATGTATAAAGAAAAAATGCTTTTAATTTGGTTTTTTTGTTTTTTGTTTTGTTTCTTGCTTTGTCTTGTTTTTCGAGACAGGGTTTTTCTGTGTAGCTTTAGAGTCTGTCCCAGAACTTGCTCTAAAGACCAGGTTAATGTCAAACTCACAGACATCTGCCTGCCTCTGCCTCCCAAATGCTGGAATTAAGGCATGTGCCACCACCACCAGGTAAGTATTTATTTTCTATAGGGTGTTTTGCCTGCCTATATGTCTGTACACCACGTGTGTGCAGTGCTCCCAGAAGGGCATCAGATCCTCTAGGACTGGAGCTGCAGATGGTTATGAGCCACCAAGTGGGTGCTGGCAATAGAACCCAAGTTCTTTGGAAGAGTAGTCAGTACTCTTAACTGCTGAATCGTGTTTCCGGCCCCAAGAAAATATATTAATTGTAGATTTAAATTTGATATAAATGACCTAAACCTCATAGTTAGAAGCACAGGGAAATTTCACAATAATCACCAAAAGGCTTGCCTTTATTGTTATATACAGATGCAAACCATCAAAGATATTCATTTGAGCAATCAGTAAAAGTGAGTTACTTTCAGATGTTTTCTATATCCTACCAAAACTTTGAAATGGGTCACAAAAAGGAAAACAATGCATGAGGAATGTTAGATAACACTACAGTATTTTCCTTAAGTCTCTAATGGTAAAAACAGAATGCATTTCAACAACCTTCAATAAGGAAGCACTGTATTTAACATCTCAACATACAAACCTGTCTTTGACAGTATGACTCCTTGAGCTTCTTGAGATGTGTTGTCATTTTCACTTTGAAATGTATCTCACTGCTATCCTAAGGAGATAAAGGGAAACATTATTCCTTCTTTGTCTACACTACTTAGCTAACTTGAACCATATTATTTAATTACGCCTTGTTACAGTTTTCTATCATAATATTCTTTTTAGCATTCCTAACTAGTTTCATTAAAAGCAATCTAGTCAAAATCCAAATTACCTTTCAGCAACTCACTATAAAAAATAACAAACCAAAGATGTTTTAGGTATCAAAATTATTAATATAAATTTGTATGCCAAACAAAAGCATTCTTTCATTACATCATATCCATAAAAATACTGTAAAAATAAAATGAACTGTTACAAACCCTTATAAACAATAAAAACAAAACATACTATCACATTCATACCAACTAATGTTGAGGGGGCGGGGTCAAACCTAAGATAAAACAAACTTTTTTTAAAGTTATTTATTTATTACGCATATAATGTCTGTCTGCATGTTTACCTGCAGGCAAGAAGAGGGCACCAGATCCCATTACAGATGGCTGTGAGCCATCAGTGGTTGCTGGGAATTGAACTCAGGACCTCTGGAAGAGCAGTCGGTGCTCTTAACCCTGAGCCATCTCTCCAGCCCCGAAAAATATAAACTTTAAAGTAACATATAAAACTTTTTTCTACCAAAAAGTGACTCATGGAAGTCAGTTTTTCTAACATGAATAAAAACTTCAGTAAGTCGCCCCTGCGCAAGGATGATACACAAATTCATGAAGCGTTCCATAGCTTAAAAAACAAAACAAAACAAAACAAAACAAAAAAACCTTCAGTAAGTCAAACTGAAGGTTTGGGGCTCTGGACGTCACTCAGTGGAGTTCTTGCCAGGACACTGCAGTGATGGAAACGGGTCAGGTACCTTAAACCCCAGGGAAGCGACTTGAATCCACCTTGAACAGCATTTTGCTAAGTCCAAGCAGCGGCCCTCGACAGTGAGGTGAAGCAGCGCAGCGAGCTACTTCAGAACCCGGCACTCCAGTGTTCCCAGGTCCCACAAAGATGAAGTAGTCTCGAGAACACCAGTCCTCATCCCTGTGTTGCCTGCTACCCATTTCTAATGCCTCACCTTTTTACAAAGAAAAGGGAGGAATGTTAGTATCAGGCATCTGCACTGGCCTGCCCTTGGGGTCCTGACAGGATACGTCCTCAGATGCGGCCTAAGAGCACCTCCTGCGCATTTACTATGTTCCCTTTAAAAGGGGGGCCTTGCCCACCTCCCACCTCTTTCTGTCTGTTTCTCAGAGGCCAGTACCCCCTTCTCCTTTCCTCTTTCTCCTTTCCCCATTCACTTTCCCCCAGTTAAAACCCCTTGAGAGCCCTGTTGCATGGTGTCTTTCTCTCTCACGTCACTTTTTAAAGTACAACAGCCTCAGCTTTCAGAGTGCTAGGATTTTAGGTATATTGTGTTTTCTTCTTGATAAAAGAAAAATTCTTCCTAATTTTGCAGTTAGGAATTCTGTATTGTAAATTTTTACTGGGAAACACACACAGATCAAGATCCTACTTAATAAACCTGAACAGTTTACAGTAAGACAGAAACAAAAATGTGACAAACTGGTAGAAACAGTCACAACTTATGAGATTAAAAAAAAAAAAACTCTGGGGGCTGGAGAGATGGCTCAGAGGTTAAGAGCATTGTTTGCTCTTCCAAAGGTCCTGAGTTCAATTCCCAGCAACCACATAGTGGCTCACAACCATCTGTAATGAGATCTGGTGCCCTCTTCTGGCCTGCAGGCATACAGAAAGACAGAATATTGTATACATAATAAATAAATATTAAGCCGGGCGGTGGTGGCGCAGGCCTTTAATCCCAGCACTCGGGAGGCACAGCCAGGCAGATCCCTGTGAGTTCAAGGCCAGCCTGGTCTACAAGAGCTAGTTCCAGGACAGACACCAAAAACTACAGAGAAACCCTGTCTCGAAAATCCAATAAACAAACAAACAAACAAACAAATGAATAAATAAATATTTTTTAAAAACTCTAAACAAGTTAGTGGCTATAATCTCTGCACTCAAGAAGCTGAAGCAGAAGATTGATAGGTGTAAACTTAGGGCCAGCCTGGATGCAAAAGAGGCTTCAGGCAAGTCAGAAACACAAAAAGAATCCTTATAAACTAGTAAATTTTTTGTTTGTTTTTGTTTTTCAAGACAAGGTTTCCTCTGTGTAGCCCTGCCTGTCCTGAACTCACTCTGTAGACCAGGCTGGTCTTGAACTCAAAGAACTACCTGCCTCCCAAGTGCTGGGATTAAAGGAGTGCACTACCACCACCCAACATAATAATTTCCCCTTTCATGTTAAACCCTTTCATGTTAAAATGTCTGTTGGTGATGTCTTTGTTCAGGCTTTTTTTTTTAATTTATGATTTATTTATTTTTTATTTTATTTGCATTGGTGTGAAGGTGTCAGGTCCCCTGGAACTGGATTTTCAGACAGTTGTGAGCTGCCATGTGGGTGCTGGGAATTGAACCCGGGTCCTCTGGAAGAGCAGTCAGTGTTCTTAAACGCTGAGCTATTTCTCCAGCCCCCTGTTCAGGCTTTTTTAGGCAGCATATTCAGATTTCATGGATGTAGCTTCCCTAACATGTCTAGAAGATGCAATGCAATTTCACAGCAGACATCCTGTCCGAGCCTCTTCCAGTTGGTCAGTCAGTGTCTCTGTCTGTCTGTCTGCCTGTCTGCCTGTCTGTCTGCCTGCCTGCCTGCCTGCCTGCCCCCCCCCCCTCTCTCTCTCTCTCTCCTCTCTCTCATATATTAAGATATAGTCTAAGTTCCAAGAGTGACCCTGAATTCTCTCTGCAGCCCAGGAAGCCCTTGAAACAGAGATCCTTCTAAACTTAACTTTAAGTAGCTGAGATTACAAGCTCAAACCACCAGACCAAGTAAAGACGGTCTTTTTAACTAACAGCCTAGGAAACACTCACACAAAAGTATTAAAAAATAAAAAGTAAACCTAAGAGCTAAACTATTAAATACTTAGAAGAAATCACAGATGTTAAATATTTGTAATCCTGGATCAGTTTTTTGGTTGGTTGGTTGGTTTTTTCTTTTTTTGGGGGGGGGTAGATGTTTGTATTTTTCTTTCTTTTTTTCTTTCTTTTTTTTCTTTCGTTTTGTTTTGTTTTTCAAAACGGGGTTTCTATGTAGCCCTGGCTATTCTGGAACTCACTTTGTAGTCCAGGCTGGTCTCAAACTCACAAACTCTGTCTCCCAACTGCTGAGATTAAAGTGAACTATCACCACCCAGTTTAGACAACAGTTTCTTAATTAGAAGCAAAAAAACAAAATGGGTAGTGGTAGCACAGTCTTTCTCGTTAATCCCAGAAGAGGATCTCTGGGAGTTTGAGACCAGCCTGGTCCACAGACCAAGTTCCAGGACAGCACAGAAAAGTCCTGTCTCAAAAAACAAAACAAGACTCATAAATTTACTTCACTGAAATTAAATGCTATATGCTACAAAGTGACCAAAAAAAGTGAAGACATATCCCAAAACTAAGCGGTGGTTATTTGCTAATCATGTATTTAATAAAGGCAACATATTTTAAAAATTTACAACTTAAAAGCAAAATTCTAATTTATAAAATAGGTAACAGCTCTAAATAGACATTTTCCAAAGAAAAAAGTATAAATGCACTCAGAAGGCCGAGCTCCCCTGGTGACTGAAGGTGGGTGACACCATCCTGGGTGGGCTAGGGTTCTGGACTGAATAAAAAGGGAGAAAACAGAAAGCCAGCGGAGCTCTGGTACTTTCTATGCTTCCCGGCCAGACCACAAACAAGTCACTCTTGCCACCATGTTTCTTTCTTCCCAACTGCAGGCCAAGAAGAGTGCCCAGTGGTGGTGCACACCTTTAATCCCAGCATTCAGGATGCAGAGGCAGAGTTCTGAGTTCAAGGCCTCATGGGAATTCCAGGACAACCCTAGCTACACAGAGAAACCTTGTCTCTCAAAAACAAAAAAGGAAGGAAGGGAAGGGAAAGAAAGGAAAGAGAAGAAGGGGGAAGGAAAAGGGAAGGGAGGTAGATAATACCCACACAACTTAGAAGCAGAAGTGCTGGGTCTAGCATAGTAACTCTTCTTGAGGAATGGTCAAACTATTCTCAGTAGAAACCGGACTAGCAATATACTAGGTTTCCAACTCTCTGCTCAACACTTGTATCTGGGTTTTTTTTTTTTTTTTTTGGTTCTAGTCATTGCAGAAGTATTATGTGGTTTCACTGAGATTCTGCTCTGCATTTCCATGTTGGCCATGATGTTAAGCTTCTTTTTCTTTTTGGTTTTCTTCAGACAGGGTCTGCAACTCCAATTCCACAGATACCAGGCATGCAGGTGGTGTAGACATATATGCAGCCAAATACCCATATACATAAAATTTAAAAAACAGTATTTTGAAACAAAGGGTGGGGGTAAAGAGAGGTTCAGTAAGACAATACAAGCCTAAGAATCCAAGTTCAGATCCCAGTATGAACACTAAAAACATAAAGGCCAGGCTGAACTCCAGTGCTACAGAAAAGAGTCAGGGAACTCCTGTAGCAGGGAAGGGAGGTGTACGCTGAAGACACACTAACAAAGAGGAAGCAACTGAGTGCGTTCACTGCATCCATATACCACACTCAAAGCAATAAAAAGAGTAAGAAGATGGCTGGGGATATGGTTCAGGGGTAGAACACTTATCTGTTCATGTGCCAGGCCCTAGATTCCACTACACACATACATATAGACACAGTAAGCAGACCTCCCCCCAAAAAATAACACTTTCTCAATGATCAAGGAAATACATAGGCAAAATTGTCACAGTGACATTGATTCCACACTTGGAAGACTGTGGAAAACTATCATACTTTGATGGTTAACAGTGTAACATTTCACTAAATCCAATCTTCTAAAAGAAGACAACATGCCAGTGTGGTATCACATGTTTTAACTCCAACACCTGGAGGAAGAAGCAAGTGTGTCTCTGAGTCTGAAGTCAGCCTGGTCTGTGTAGTAACTTCAAGACCAAGCAAGAGTACAGAGTGAGACTCTGTCTCAAAAACAGAATCAGCCTCTTTTACCCCCAACAGATACATGTACAATAAGGGAAAATGCAATTTTTAAATAACATGTCCTACCTAATATTTTTTCCTATGTTTTTACACATTGGAAAAATGTCAAATGAGAAAAATAATGAAACTCACCTGTCCAATAACTTTGAGCTTAATGTATTCTCCTTCCTTCTTATCCCCTAAGTCCTCAGTTGAAGGTTTTGCTTCCTGAAAGAAATTTTCAGATTAAAAATTATAAATACTCTGCTGTTTATGAGCATCCATTACTTTCCCTCAGGTAACAGACTCTGCACCTGAAAATACAGAGAACACTTATTTCCCCAACACTCAATTACTCTTCAAACTCCCCATTCACTAAAACTCAATAAAGTTTCCCCCTGATTTATTTATTATGTATATAGTGTTCCACCTGCATGTATGCCCGCACACCAGAAGAGGGTACCAGATCTCATTACAGATGGTTGTGAGCCACCATGTGTTTGCTGGGAATTGAACTCAGGACCTCTGGAAGAGCAGCCAGTGCTCTTAACATCTGAGCCATCTCTCCAGTCCAAGTTTGTTTGTTTTTAACAGCATTGCTTCCTACAGTAAAAATCTAAAATTTAACCATGTCTTAATCAGTCACCCTAAGGACTTAAGACAAATTAATAAGAATTTTTCTAACAAGTTAAAAGGTGACAAAGATGCTGGTGTCAAAAGGAGCAATTTGGAAGTTCTTGCCCTAAAGTCAATTCCTCTTAACCAGGAGTTCATTCTCCTAGAGTTCTTATTCTTAGTAAACATTTTGAATCCAAGAGTATGTTCTCATGGTCTATCCTGAGGCAATCTTCTATACCAAGATATGGAAATACATCACAGGCAAGGGCTATTTAGAAAGGACAATCAAATAGGAAAGTATTGGTCTAAATACTAGAGTCAAAATGAATCAGTTTTATATTGTCTAGTATTTTAATCCAAGGTTACAGGGTAATAAGGTATGACTGAACGCAGTAACAAAATGGGAGCAGAAGAGACTGGAATCTAGGAGTGAGAAAGTAAGGAAATAGGAGACTTATGGGAAGGCAAAAAGATTTACAAACTCATTTCAAATAAAGGAGTATTGCAAAGCAACTGAAATTAACAGACTGAATTAGACGAGAACAATTTCAGCATAAAGCACATCAGTTGAGTCATTCTTAGTGAAAAAATGGACACTGGAAAGTGTCCCACACACTTTAATTCAACCATCACACTTAAATATTTAAAATATTCTTGCTACTTGTATTAATTCAAAACTAATCCAGCCAGGTAGTAAATTTCTCTGAGTTTGTAGCTAGCCTGGTTTAGAATTCCAGACCAGGTAGGGATATACAGTGAGACCCTGTTAACCTACACTAATAATTAGCGTACTGAGGCAGGTGTGATGGAGCACTTTAATCCTTTAATCCCAGCACTCAGGAGGTAGGAGCACGTAGATCTCTGTGAAAGGCCAGTCTGGATTACAAAGTGAGTTCCAGGACGATCAGGACTGTTACATAGAGAAACCTACTCTCAAGGGGGGGAAAAGTAAGAATTAACAAACTGAATTTTACACGTAAAGCACATGTGTATCTATATAGCACATGCCAGTACAACTAACACTACATTCTCTGACATTTTGAAATGAACAGAACACAATTCCAATAGCATGGAAAATAATCCCAAGATCTGACAAATGGTATTGCACAATAATGAAGTTTCTACACAGCAAAGGAAAATAATCAATAGAGTGAAAAGAGCCTGCAGAATGGAAGAAGTCTTTTTCAACTATATATCCAAAAGGGGATCACTATCTACAATCTATTAAGAAAAAAAACCTCCAAAAATTAAATACAACAAAAACCCAATCAATCAATCAATGGGCTATGTTTTCTCTCAAATGTAGACTCTAGACTGAAATTCAAATTTGCATGTATAATTTGCATGGTGTAAGAGATCTAAAGTGGACTGGCGGTGGTGGCACACACCTTTAATCCCAGCACTTGGGAGGCAGAGGCAGGCGGATCTCTGTGAGTTCGAGGCCAGTCTGGTCTACAGAGTGAGTTCCAGAACAGGCTCCAAAGCTACAGAGAAACCCTGTCTCGAAAAAATAAAAACAAAAAAACAAAAAAAAAAGAGAGAAAGAGAGAGAGAGATCTAAAGTGGGGGATAGCAGGAGGGGGTAACAGAAGGGGTTAGCAGAAGAGGACTGCAGGAGGGGGACTATAGAGGAGGACGAGAAGGACCAGTCAAAGGGATAGAGGGATGGAAGGAGAACAAAGAGAGCAATGGGTCTGCGATGGGAGCGATACAAAGATCTGTATGTATAAAAGTAACATGTACATGTCATTAAGTGTGGGGAGGGGGAGAAAGTGAGTAAGCATACCAAGCTCCAAGTAACCTTTTCCTCCAAGATCAGTACAGCGTCTAAGGAAATGCTTAAATGACAGAAGAGACAGATGGGACAGGATGCCTGGTTTTCATTCTGCTGTGCTTTCAATGCTTGCAGACTGAGTTAATTTCATTACTTCACCTGAGAAGTAGGTGACTATCTTCAAACACTGTCTTGCCATATTTCTATGAATGTATAGTCATAGTGAAGAGTTGCTTCTTCCTGCAAGTATCCAGAGAGCAAACAGCTTATTCTCTGTGGTGAAGAGCAGTAAAAGGCAACCAAACCCTGAATCCCTTTAAGAGGAGGAAAGGAAGTGAGTTTTGTTTAGGTTAGTACAAAAGAAGATATTCTAGTTTTGTCTAGGCTAATGTGGCTATATAGAAGTTACTCAGAAACAAAAAACACAATCCCCCCTCCAATTCAAACACCCACAGACCTCTTCTCCTTCTAAAGCAGTTTTCTTGAATCCTATAACACTCAAAAAGCATAAAGGGCTTCCAACACCTTAAGGTCTAAAAACAAACTCCGCAACATTTCAATACATACATCGCTGACCCCACCTCACTTTTCTCTCACATTCCTTTTAGTAAGATATCTAAGATATCTGTTCACTGTTTGCTAAAGACTCATCTTTGTCTATACCACGTTAAAACAGCATAACCAAGGCAAATAATAAAAGAAACCCTTTAATTGAGTTTACAGTTCCATAAGATCAGAGTCCACAACAGTGAAGCAAAGGTGAGGTGACAAGAACAACATCTCAAATACAAGTAGGAGGCAGAGAATGGGTACTAGCAATAGCTGGGTTTTTGAGACCTTAAATCCATCCCCAGTGACACAACTCCTCCAACAGGGCCATACCTAATTCTTCCCAAACAGTCATCAAGTAGGGACCAAATATTCAAAAATATGAGCCTATGGGGCCATTCTCATTTGAACCACCATCCCCCAAATACGTCCCATCGGCCTTCTCCCATCTTCGGCCATGCATGGCCCAGTTTCCTTTACCTGAAGTAACGGTAGTCTTTCCAAAATCAAATCAGAGACGTACCCTCAGATCAGCTGACATCTACTACTAAAAGGCCTTCTCAGATCATAGCACTCTCCCAACCACTATCTTTCTTTAATGCCTCTATTTGCAGTTCATTCATATCCCACACTGGCCTCCTTGACTTGACACTCTACTGCAATCTTTATTTTCCCACCACTGTCACAGCTGACAAGCCAGTATTTGCTATGGGCACTTTTACTCTCTCCTAGCTGTTCTCTGGGGTGTGCATCAACATTCCACTCAAAACTGCCCTCAGTTTCAACTGCACTCCTTACTGATAAATTCAAAGGACACTCAAATTTCTCCATCTGTGCCTTCTCATCTCAGCTGTTTTCTTCAATTCTGGCCTTCAGTCCTCTGCTTCTCTTTCTTGCCATCAGGTGGCTGTCTCTTAGATACCGTGATTAGTTTTTGTCAACTTGTCACAACCTAAAGTGTTTTAGGAAGAGAGAACCTCAATTGAAGAATTTCCCCCTAGGGTGGGGCACTGGTGGCACCTTTAATCCCAGCACTCAGAAGGCAGAGGCAGGTGGATCTCAGTGAGTTCCATGACAGCCAGAACCGTTACACAGAGAGACCCTATCTCAGATTGCCTCTATCAGAGTCCCCTGTGGGCAAGCCTCTGGGGCATTTTCTTGATTCAGGAGATCCCAGTGCACCCTTGGGCGGGTAGTCCTGCATCATATAAGAAAGCAGGCTGAGTAAGTCACGGGGAGAAGTCAGCTCAGCGGGCAGCATCTCTCCGAGGCCTCTGCCTCACACCTCCTGCCTTCTGATTCCTACTTGAGTTTCTGCCCTGGGATCCCTCAATATTGAACTAAGACTCGGAAATCTAAGGAAAGTCTGGTTTGGTCAGTGTTTTATAATAGTAACAGAAAGAAAAACAAGACAGACACAAATACTAACATCATCCTCTCCAACCTAACAATTACAGAGTTCACACTTTTATCCAAGGGCCTGAACTTGTGCATGTTAGGTATCTGAAGTATGTGAAGGCATTACTTCTAATTCCTGTTAGACTTATTTCCTTTTTCTGAAAACCACAATGAAAAACAAACTACAGGGCTGAGAACATAGTTCAGGGGCAAAACCCATGTCTGGTGTACAGAAAGTTCTGAGTTTAATAGCACTAAAGCCAGCAATCACAGCAGCTCTCAAACAAACAAAACATCCTCTCTAGATTCCCAATTACAACAGTTACCTACACTCATCTGACTACAACAAACACTGACTATCTATGGCTTCTCTTAAGTTTCCTATTTAATCATTCATCATTGTGACAATTCTAGTGGCTCTGAAGCCCATCTCATTCTCTACAATCACAAAACCACTGTAGGAATGGACATCTCTACCTCTTGGGAAAAAAAAAAAAAAGCCTTAATGCAGCCATGCACCTTCTCGTGGGCTCACAGGGTCTCACTATACAGACCAGGCTGGCCTCAAACTCAAGAGCTCTATCTACCTGCCTCTACCTCCCAGTACTAAGATCAAAAGTGTAGGCCACTACACTCAGTGAATGTCTTTTTCCTACTGACAGACTAGAAAATAAAAAGATTGTAGACAAAAGGAAAAAAACTGAACCTGTCCCCAATAGTCTTGAGGTCTTGTATGCCTTCCTTCTCTGTCCTGTATTTTTTTTAAGGCAGCCAATACAGAATACAGCACACTAGTTACACAACAGTGAAAGCGTTCAGTGTTAAGTCTGGGACTGGAGGTCATCAAAGCAAGGACAGTTCCAAAGAGCAGATCGACCTGGCTGGCAAG